GTAGGTAACGTGCTCATCACATCCACTGATTGTGTTGTTGTTGTAAGTTAGGGTAACTGGAACAGCTGCTCTTTCACAGACTGGACCCCACATCAGCTCCCTACTCCATCCTGTAGTACAAACTGGTGTGACACCAAAGTCTGTTCCATACAAATAATCTGATTCAATACAAACACCAACATTGTGCTGACCTGAAGAACACCAACAGTCACAGGAACGCTGTGGAAATGTGGGATTTGCAGCAGGACTGATGTGGATTACAAAGTGAAGGCAGACTTATTATGTTTCAACCACTGTAATAATAATAGAATAAGAACAGCATCCTTGTAGCTGCTGCGTGCTGCGTATGCTAAGGTTTTATATGGTTTGCTGTTAGCTCTGTGTGGCTAACCAGCTGATTAACTTCAGTTATGTCTGATGCAGATCCATCAAGTGATTCCAAATAAACATTTAATGCAATGGATTCACTTAAAACACTCAAATAAAATAGAAGAATCCAAAGCTACGGTTGTCTCTGTTTAGGGTTGAGTAAAATATGAAATCTATAACATTTAATTATTTTTCTTAGTGTACAAAAACAGACTGATCAGGTAATGTTTTTTGTTGTTTTTAATAACATGTACATAATATTGGCAGTTTCATGATACTGAGGGGAGCGACTGTTTCTGTCCAGGGTGGGAGGGGCCAGAAGACATTTTTCGTGTCATTCTCAGGGTCCTGGAGGTGTCGAGGTGTTGGAGAGAAGGAAGACTGCAGACACCTTCTCAGACAAATGGATGACACACTGCAGCAGAAAGACTTCACAGTGTCCACGGGGCACTCGTGTAGGATGATGGGGGCTGGTGGGGCTGGTTCCTCCTGCAGACGTTCCAGCAGCTGCAGTTCCTCTAACAGCCACTTGAAGCTGACTCCAAAATGAGTCAATATTTACAGTTTTCAGGGTTTGTGTTCAAACTTTAAACCTGAGGCACTGAAACAAACCCAGGTGTGAATCCAGAGAGTCTCATGTGTGATGTGTGAGTGTAGAGTAGGTCTGGTCCTGGTCCCTGCCGGCTGGATCGAGGCTCTGGTAGGTCGAGTCTTCACGTGTAGAACCTGGAGTACAGTTCTCGTAGTGGACGTCCTGAAACAGAGACAAACTGTCTTCTTCACATAAAAAGAAGAGACTCTGACTTGGTTAAATCATTTGTGCTGGTAAATATTTCCGTGTCGCCTCGTTGAACCTCTCAGACAACAGTGTCTCTGTTTGTTGTTGGAGTCTCCGTCTGGGCGGCCATTTTTGTCACCTACCTGTTTGAATTCACCTTCTTGGATTGTAATTTGTGGAACAGTCTACACACTGAACCATCACACTGTGACTGCTTTATTTCTTTGTTACAGTAGCAGTCTGTCAACAGCGAGAGGAACCAAAGAGAAAGAAAGTCACCTCCATGTTTGTGCCCTCTGAGTTTGCTCTGGTCCTCAAACCTGTGGAACAAACAAAGGATGTTCCTCTGTTAGAGGGAACAATCATTCAAAGTGCACGCGACAAAGAAATACGAGAGATCATTCATAATTATTATTATTTTGGTTATGAGCAGTCTGACATCTGGATTTTTATAAATCTATCAATTTATTTATTCTTCACTCTATCAGCTCAGTAGTAAA